GTTTTATTAGTAGAAGAAGTTTTAGAGTCAAGTTTCTTACCAACATCACCCTTGGGCTTTGATTCCTCCTTGGCCTTAGGGGTGAATCTTGCTGTATCTTTGGCCTTGGAATCCTTCCACTTGGAGGTTGGTTTAGAGTCCCTCCAGCCATAGGATGAGGATTTGGAGTGTTTCTCTTTAAACTATTTTCAACTTTGATGGCTTTGTACACCAACTCATCCTTATCAACAAAAGTGTACATCTCAACTTTGTCTCTAATTTCAAGTCTCAGACCATCAATAATTCTGATCATGCTTGATTTTTAATCTCTCTTGTACTCCAGCACACATCTTAAGAAGATCAAGCTTATGTACATACTCTTCTACTTCATAGAGTCTTGGCTAAACAGTCGCAACTTTCTATTAAGCTCTCGATAGTAGAAACTAGGAACATACTTCTTGCGCATGAGTTTCTTTAGTTCTCCCACGTACGAGGGGGACCTTTGCCCTTAAGGCATCTCTTAAGTTGCAAATCTTCCCACCAAATAGTAGCATAGTCAGAAAACTGAAATGAAGCTAATTTACCTTCTTTTCTTTAGGCCAATCATTCAATCTGAAAATCTGCTCAAACTTCATCTCCCAATCAAGATATTTATCTGGATTGGTATTACCCTTGAAAGTAGGATACTTGATCTTTGGATTAATTATGGCCATGTCATTTTTGGAATGTTTGCTCCTGCTCTTTGAAGTTGACAAACTAGATCTAATCACCTTGTCATCACTACTATCTGCTTTGGATATCTTTAACTGTTCCATTTCCATCTTGAGTTTGAGAAACTCATCTCTCATAGCCCTCATGAATACTTTGATATCTGTGTTGAATTCTATATTATTAGATTCTTTCTCGCTCATCTTTAACCTGAGATGTTAGTTGAAGTAAAAAGAAAAATGAAATAGAAATAATGGACCTCACCACTCTGCTCGCGTGTTCCACTCAATCAATTTGATGCCACTCGTGTTTCTCTTAACTTTGGCTTTTATATTGAAGTAAAACACTCTTGCCTTTTACCACTTGAGCTTGTCTCCTATAGTATTCTTAATTGAAACTCAACAAAAACCAAGAGACAATATTAGAAGTGGTAACCTTCACAACCATAAATTGTAAGAGCCAGTAACTATGTGAAAGAGGGGAAAAGATAGGAGATGAAAGAAGAAGGATAGGCCAAACGTGAGGATGGAATGAAAGGAGGGGAAAAATGAGGAGAGAAGAATTTTATGATGAAAAAAAAATGGATAGAAAAAAAAACGTGGAAAAGGGAGGCAGAAATTGCAAAATGAAAATAAGGTTGTGAAAGTAAAGGAAAATAGGAAACAAAGTAATTAGGAAAGGTACTACCTTGAGAAAACTTTAGAACAGTGAGTACCTTGCAAGAAAAGAACTGAAATTAGGCAAGTAGTATGAAAAGGAAGGAAAGGAATAGGAAACAAAAGAAAGAAGAAAACTTGAAGAAAGAAAATAGGAAAGTAATATGAAAAGGAAATGAATTCAAAATAGGAAACTAGATAAAACAAAGGAAAGTAGAAATAGGAAAGTAGGAGTCTTACCACCCAAGTATAAAGATTTAGGAAATTAATTGTGACTTGCAATGGAAGCTCTTTCAAATTAGGAAACTTGCCTCTTATGCTGCAATCTCCAAAATCTGAAACTCTTTCCCTTTTTTTTAATTTTCGAATTTTCTTTTCCAGCAATTCTGTAGCCTTTTTTTTTGCTTTTTTGTTTTTTTGTTTTCAACACAACAACACTTTTTTTTCTTTTTTTTTTCACGAATTTGTTTTTTACTACTTAAAAGAACAAAGCAAGTCAAATGAACAAAAGAAAAAGGGTGGAAAGGAGATGAAAAGGAAAAGAAAAAAACAAAAAAAAAGGGATGGAATAAGGAAGAAAGGAGGAAGACAGAATGAGGAGAATGGAAACGAAAGGAAAATAGAAGCAATAGAGAAAAAAAAATTAAAACACCAAAAGATAGAACTTGAAATCTAGCAAACCTTAGCTCTAATGCCACTTGATATGAGGGGAGGTACGGACCGGCTATAATTAAGTATAGGAATGGAATGAGACTCCAAGAGAACCTGCCTCTTGTATAAAAGGCCCATATGTGCTTATGGACGTGAATAGCAATTATGAAGATCTATTTGGAAGGTCTAAGAAGATTGAAAAAGCATCAAGAGTGATCTTATATGATATTAAATAGGATTCTATTTGTTTTAATTAGTTTCTTATTTTACAGTTTCCTATTTTGTATTGATTGCCTCTTGAAGGCAAAGACTTACTTATTTTGTATTGCATTAATTAGTAGAGAGTCAAATAATATCCTTCTCATTAATGAAGGGATCCTGCTAGGTGGTGTGTGATCTAGATTATTCTATCTTGACTAGCAAGTTAGAGTATTCTAGAAAGTCTTTTGATTTTTCTAATTTTGTTATATTTTCGCATCTATTTTTGATGCATTTTATTTAGTTAGTGTCTTAGGCTCTAAAAACTTATATTAGGCTTTTAGGGCTTAGGTTATCAATTAGGATTTTCATATTAGGGTTTTCAAGAGTCTTAGTCTATAAATAATTCAGTATGTATTCTTTTCAGGGGATGATTTTGAATAATTAATAAAATGAGAATTTTATTTCTCTTTGTGTGAGCTTTGCTTGCATCCTCGTATTCTCATGAGCATACTCGACAGTATCAAGGGAGTGATCAACCTTGTGGTGTCTTCATGGCTAGGGTTGTAAGAGACAGGTTCTCTTAAGGTCCTACCTCGATCATCCGTCTAATTCCTTGTGTTTGGGGATACAAGAGGCAAGTTCTCTTGGGGTCTCATTCCATTCCTATACTTGAATTATAGCCGATCCGTATCTCCCCTCATATCACTGAACTTGAGGAAACAAAGCTGATTTCTATTCTTAAGAAGTATAAAAGAGCAATTGGATGGACCTTGGCTGACATACCTGGAATAAACCCAACAGTGTGCACACATAGGATTTTATTACATGAGAATTCTAGACCCATAAGACAGCCACAAAGGAGACCTAATCCCTTAATATTGGATGTGGTAAAAAAAAAGAAGTAACCAAATTGCTAAGTGCTGGTATTATTTTTCCAATTAGTGATAGTGAATGGGTTTCACCTGTCCAAGTTGTTCCTAAAAAGAGTGGCATCATGGTTGTAAAGAATGAGAAAGATGAATTAATTCCAACTAGGGTCCAGAATTCTTGGAGGTCATTTTCCCCTCCCTTTTATAGACCAAATGTTGGAAAGATTGGCTTGTAAATCCCATTACTATTTCTTGGATGGATTTAGTGGATACTTTCAGGTTCCTATAGCACTGGAGGACCAAGACAAAACTACCTTCACTTGCCCCTTTGGAACCTTACATACCGAAGAATGCCATTTGGATTATACAATGCTCCTACAACTTTTCAAAGGTGTATGACTTCTATCTTTAGTGAGCTTTTAGAACAAGGTGTTGAAGTATTCATGGATGATTTTACCTTGTATGGAGACTGTTTTGATGACTGTTTACTAACTTTGGAAAAGCTTTAGCTAAATGTGTAGAAAAGAATCTGATTCTTAATTTTGAAAAGTGCCAATTTTATGGTAGATAAGGGGATAATGTTGGGGTACTTGATTTCATTGCCTTATCCAACTACATTAAAAGAATTAAGGTCCTTCTTGGGTCATGCTGGGTTTTATAGGAGCTTCATAAAGAATTTTAGTCAAATTGCTTTACCTCTTTCTCAATTACTACAAAAGGATGCTGATTTTGTCTTTGATAAGTGTTGCAAGACTGCTTTTGACGAGTTAAAGGCCAAGCTTGTTTCTCCACCTATCTTAGCATCTCCTGATTGGAACTCAGACTTTGAACTATCTTGTGATGCCTCCAATTCTGCTATGGGGCTGATGTTGGGACAATAGGTAGAAAGACTATCAAGAGTTATTGCATATGCATCTAAGACACTAGATAAGGCACAAACCAACCATACCACCACCGAAAAAGAATTATATGCCATAGTCTTTGGTCTGGACAAATTTAGGCAGTACCTATTGCATTCTAAATTTGTTATTTTCACTGATCATGCTACTGTAAGTTCCTGTTCAAAAAGCCTCAATCAAAGCCTAGGTTACTTAGATGGATGTTATTAGTACAAGAGTTTGATGTTGAAATAAAATAGGGCAGGGGTAGAAAACTTAGTTGCTGACCATTTGATTAGGTTACCTAATAATTCGAAAGGGTGGATGATTCAGATTTGGTTTGTGATGCATTTCCTGATCATATGCTTTGTGCTGTCACTGTTAAAGAGCCTTGGTTTTCAAATTTAGTTGCTGATGTGGTTCCCTCATTCATGAATCAATTTCAGGTCCAGAAACTGAAAAGAAAAGCACAATATTATGTATGGGATGCTCCATATTTATGGAGATTATACTGTGATCAATTGATTCGTAAATGTGTTGCAAATGAGGATATTCCTTCCATCTTAGAATTTTCTCATTCTTTATCCTGTGGTGGTCACCTTAGTGCAAGGAAAACTTCAAGAAAAATTCTGGATTCTGGTTTTTATTGGCCTTCTTTGTTCAAAGATGCTTATGAATTCTGTAAAAATTGTGATAAATGTCAGAAATTTGGTGGGCTATCTAAAAAGCAAGAAATGCCTCAACAACCCATGTTATTTTGTGAAATTTTTTATGTTGGGGCATTGACTTTATGGGTCCATTCCCTCCATCACATGGTTTTTCATACATTTTGCTAGCTGTTGATTATTTGTCCCGTTGGATTGAAGCTGTAGCTACTATGAAAAATGATGTTCAAATAGTAGTAAAGTTTCTGAAATCTAATATATTTTACAGATTTGGGATCCCTAGAGCTTTAGTTAGTGACTGTGGCACTCACTTTGCAAACAAACTCATGGAGACGTTGCTGTCCAAGTATGGAGTCACGCACAAGATGGCAACACCTTATCATCCACAAACAAATGGTGCAGCTAAGGGTATCCAATAGGGAAATTCAAGGCATTTTACAGAAAATTGTTAAGCCAAATAGGAAGGATTGGAGTCTTAGATTAGATAAAGATTTATGGGCTTATAGGACAGCTTATAAAACTCCAATTGGCATGTCCCCATTTAGGATAATCTATGAAAAAGCTTGCCATTTACCTATTGAAATTGAATATAAGGCTTATTGGGCAGTAAAAACTTGTAATTTAGACTTACGAGTTACAGCTGAAGAGAGAAAACTACAAATTCAGGAACTAGAAGAGCTGCGTTTAGAAGCTTATGAGAGTTCTCGTTTGTATAAAGAAAGAACTAGAATTTTACAAGACAAGGGGATTTTGAGAAAGGTTTTTCAGGAAGGGGATAAGGTACTTCTCTACAAGGCAAGATTTACTTTCAAACAAGGGAAACTCTATACGAGATGGGATGGACCATTTGTGGTGCTCAAAGCTCATAATTTTGGAATGATAGAGATCCTGGATAAGCAGACTAGACATGTTCACAAGGTCAATGGACACTTGTTAAAGCACTATATCATGCCAATGACAAGCCACCTTAATCAGATTAGTTGTCTCTTTTCTCTCTATCCTTTCTAATTTTGCATTGTCATTATTACTACTCTGTTTTTCACATTGCAGAATTTAAGTGTGGGGGAATAAAGGATATCTCTATAAAAAAAAAAGTTTTGGTTCTGTTTTACCACTTTTCTCTTGTTTGCTACTAGACACCTAGTCACATATGTGGAGCACAATCCTCTTTAAACCAGTGTTGTTTTGCAACAGTGAACGTTTTCTGTCCTTCCTTCATGATTGATCCTTTCCTTTTGTGGCACATTGAGGACAATGTCTGTTTTAAGTGTGGGGGAATTAGTGTGATTGTAATCTTTGAATTCTTGCCTTGCTTAGCAATTTGATTCTTGGAGTGAATCTGATTTGAGCTGTTAGTCCCCTACTGGATTATTAGTTAATATTGCATTTGCACCAAATCAAACTTGCTTGAACTTGGTACAATAGATTTGATTCTAAATTTGTTAAGTTGTCAGGGGTTGTATCAACTTCGGTCTACGGTGGAATTAGTTAAATCCTTGTTGTAGCAACTTAACTTGGTAGTGGACTAGAATTCTGCTTGGTTTTCATTTAGAATCCATTGCATTAGCCTTTGTTATGCAATACTACCTAGTTTTCTATCATAGAATATAGTTGAGTTTTGAATACATTTCTTTGAATAATGTTAAAACTTGTTCAAGTGTGAGTTCCTTGCTTAATCTATCTATTTTCGAAAAGTGTGCATCATAAATAACTCTCCTCATGCATTAAGTTCAAATCCTCATGCAATTTGTTCATGGCAAGTGAATAGGGGTGAGTAAACCAGCTAGAAGAATTTTGAGCCTTAATTCATTTCTTAAATCATGTGTGAAGCCATCTAGTGTAGTAACTTCCTAGAACTTGTTCCTATCCTTAATTCAAGACTACTTTAGCACTTGGAATTGTGAATATGATAAGGGCATTTCATTCAAAACCCTTTAACCAAACAGTAGCCATTAACACTAAACTGTTGCTTAACCCCTTGAGCCTTTCACTGTTTGTTAAAAAATTTCAGCATGATTGATGAACACTACATACTTTGGATACTATGAAAATATGAGTTGCTGGCATGATAGTTTAGTTCTGTGATTGTATATGTGTTGATAGAAGATGAAAATTTATCATAGAAAACTTGATGTAATCTTCCCTACCTCACCGTTTTATTACTGCTGCAGTAAAACAAAAAAGAAACAGAAATAAGAACGAAGAAGTGCCAATGAGGGCAGAAGTTGAAGAAAAAAATAATAAGCAGCTGAAGAGATTTTTATTTAGAATTATAATTGTGTCAAATTGCTGATACAATTTCTATTCAAATTCATGTATGTACGTATCTTGAGTTCTAGACAGGAAATTGTCTTGCATGCTGATTGAGCTCAAGATATTATTATCTTTTCATCTCATTATCCATGATTTTTGTGATATTTACTGGCCCTTTTATTGATAATTGCTCTTAATTTAGATTTAGAGTCCTTACTTTAAGTTAGTGCCATTTTGAGGATTAAATTGTCATAATTGGTTGTTAATTGGATTCAATTCACTTCTAGGACAAATGATACTTCAATTTGTTATTTTTTTATTGTAGGACACTAAAGATTTGGGGCCAGGATTGAAGAACTGAAGACAAAAGAAGCAAGAAAGGATCCTCTGCCTAAGTTCGCCGCGGCCAACATCTTATTTCGCCACGGCGAAAACTCATCCGTGAAGAAAGGGGCTCTCTGCCATGTTTCGCCGCGGCGAACATATTATTCGCCGCAGCGAACCTCTCGAATCAGCAAACCTCAGACCCGACCATTTCGGGAAATTTTAACTAACCTACCCATCCCCAAAACCGACCCATGCACGTAAGTTTCGGGTTAGAAACCCTATTTTGGGTATGATGAAAGGAGAGGACCATCATTCAGCCACCACCTTCGTATCTTTCATTCTCTTCTCTCATTTTCCACCTCTATTCTCCCATCCTCTTGTCTCTCCACCTCCATCTTCTTCCCCATCCATTTCCTTCATCTTTCATTCACTCCATCTCAATTCCTTCCACTCCCAGCTGCCATGGCCGACGGATTCACTTCAGTTGGAGCTTTTCTTGAAGCTATGGAGGGCTAGGGTTTATCAACTCTTGAAGAATGGTGGTGTGGCTTGAGTTCCTAAGCTTCAAAGGGGAGTTTAGTTTCAGTTTGCAATTTTTAGCTATGATTTATGGCTTTCTAGGTCTAGGAGTTGTAATTTCTTAGTTAGGAACTTGGGACTGATACTGTAATTATTGGTTAATGATTACATTTGTAATTTGGATTGATTGATGTTGAACTTTGTGCTTAAATATATGTGGTTGCATATATGCTTATTGTAACTCTTATTATTCTCTCCTATCTTGCATGGTTGTGTTTGGGTACTGAGTTGATTGTGTGTTACATTAAGCCAATTACATGATCATTCCAAATTTACACATTAGGGAAGCTAAACAAAGCTTTCATTAATGAGTTCATTAATGAAAGCTTTGGACTCATTGAGTTAATGAGGTTCTTATTAAGAAAACCTAATGATTTGTGAAACTCCCAATATTTTAAGTGAACTATGATTGCCATCAAAGCCATTTTCAAGAGATTTCCTATCATTCATTTCCATTCCATCATTATTATCTTAAAACACAAAAATATAGTATCTTAGGTTTGTTTCATTGCATTTAGTTTAGGCTCCATTCATTTAAATCTTAAAAAACCCAAAACCCCATTTCATTGCATTGCATGGCATTTAGTCTAGCTTAGGTAATTAATAAAGGCTCCCAAAAGTGAAACGACCCGAGTTTGCACTATACTGCATAGCTTGGATTAAATTTTGATTGAGAACCCCAAGGCGAACGACAATAAAGGCTCTCTTTCCCATGCTAAGCAATTCAGTAAAATGCTTGTGTTCATTGATCATTGGCATTCATTTTCCATTCCAGCATTTGGCCTTTCCAACATTACAACCTTAACAAGCCCTTTTGATTCACAAAACCTTGTGGCAAGTGAGTAGTGGAGATGTAGGATGGTTACAAGCCTATGGTGAAGCCTAAATCTAGATGGTCTTGAGAGAAATAACCTTAATCTATGAGAGTGAGGGAAACACTTTACCTTGAGAGAAACCTTATCTTTTATTTGCTGTCCTTGGCTAAGTTGCATGATTGTGAATTGATCTTTTAGCATATGAGTATCCTTTATTGATGACATTTGAAGGAAGTGGTTGATGAACACAACTATTTCATTTTGGAGCATGGTTTAGCATTCTTCATTGATAATGTGCTTGAAATTCAGCTTTATTCTATCTTTTGTCCCAGGAGTGCTGATCTTATGCCGTTTAAAACCAAATTTAATACTCTAAGAATGCAGCAAAGTAGCTTCCAATCAGAGGTCGATTAAGTAATTAAATCACAACTCAGGACAGAAAACAAATCTGGAATGGAAAGCTTTTGATGTAGAAATCATTTTTATAAATTCCTCTGTTATAAAGAGTGAAAACAGGGAGGGACGGAGGTATGATCAGAAATGTAGTGATGAAATCTTCCTAAAAATAATAATCTGACCTTCATAGTCTTCAATGAAATAATGGAGGTGATCACATTTCAGAGAGTATTATGGACCAGATTTTAATCGGACAAACTTAAAACTCCAAGATAGAATCAACCGATTACTACTGTGAATCATTCAATTAAATTGCAAACCAAAATTAGACCTGACATTAGAATCCAATTAAATCTACTCAAGTTAAGGAGTACACCGTCAAGTTCAACACAATCAAATCTGGATACAAAATAGTCTTTAGAGACATAATCTTTAATCTAGCCTAAAACATGGTCGAAATACAACCAGATATTTGGCCATGGATCAAAAGCATAGAAAGACTCCCCTGTCAGCACAATGATTCTGGTCTGATCATATCTCTCAGGAAGGTTGAACGCCTAGCTGCTCATGGATAGAAGAACTACACTACACCGAGATGCTCCAAATCACCATGGCAGAAGTGTTGGAAATTGTGCCCTAGGGGCCAATCATTATGTTTTGAACATTGTTAATTTATGAATTTATTAATTACGTTATCATATTATTTGCATGTTTACTGTGATAACTATCCTTGGATAACTCATGGTTTATCCTAAATATCCCTGGTCGGTCATCTATGTGGGAGCAAAGATGAAATAAGACCAATATGACTTTAAAGATATATAGAGATATAAATTAAAGTCATAGGCACATGTAAGAGTACAAGGTGTTGGACCGACCCGCTATGAGAGAGCTGCATGGGTTAAGTCATAAGCTTCTCTCATATACAAACCATGTCACTGTGCCCTTTGACCTGAGATCATCATGGATTCATACATGAGAAACGCTTAGCTTTGACCTAGTCAAAAGTCACTTTTGACCGAGTGATCATAAAGACTATGTTCAGGCTTAGTGGTTTTTCATGCGGAGGAATGTGAATGGTCAAGATGGAATTTGTCCCTCACATTCGTAGAGAGACATTACTGGGCCCCTCGATGAGTGAGTCTGAGAAATGTATGGCCATACTATAATGGAAAGGTAGTTCCATTTCTATACTCTCAGACTACTCAGGGATCGAGAAAGTAACGGTCATGAATAGGAGGATGACGTTCTCCATGCCTCATCCATGACCAAAATGTCGTGAGACAAAAGGGACATGATATGGTTGTATGAAAGGTTGCATCGTTCAATGATCCTCATATGATTTGGGTAGTCGTGATGTCTTGCTAGAGACCGCTTACGACTTGTCAGTATAGTTAGTTAATGGCCCACTGCCAACTTCATATGGGCCTACAGGGTCGCACACAAAATAGCCCGACACGAGTTATGATGTCCAGATTCATTGAATCTAAGATATGTCCAGATTCAATGAATAATATAGGGTGGACGTGTATATATATATAAATTCGTATATATATATATAAGAGATATTAATTGTTAGATTTAATTTATAAGGATAAATTAAATATATATAAATTAATTCCGTCATCA